CTAGCACAGTCCCAAGACTAAAATTCAGGACCCCTGATTACCAGTTCAGTATTTTTTTTTCTTTACTCCATACGCTAATAGTAATATTGTTACAGGACCGAGAACCGGTTCCCAACTCAGGTTTGGCTGCTCAGTGCTTGAAAATCAATACCCAAGAGACAAGTGATGGTGGGAAAAGAAAAGTTGCTTTATTAAGGAAGGTGGTAATCTGGGAAGAGGGTGGATTAATGTCTCAAAGACCATCTTCTTCATCCAGGGGAAGCTGGAGGGTTTTAAAAGGAGAGGCACAGGAAAATGGAGGGGGCTATGTGCAGGCGAAGCCGGTGCCCGGGCAGTTAGTCCTTTGTTGACATGACCCTTACAGACTTGCTGGCATCAGCACCAACTGTTTCTGAGTGTAGGCAGACCTTATCTTCTGGGAAAGTTGGGTCTTTCCCTCCTCAAGGCCAGTGGTCTGCAAATCTCAAGAAAAGTAAGTTAGCTCTACTATAGATCAACAAGCAAGGAGTGCATAAGCTTGAAGCAAGTTAACCCTTAAGACCGTTGGGGGTGCTGTTACAGATCCTTAATCCTGTGACTGGTGTTGTTAGAAGAGAAAGGGGAGAGAGATTTCAGACGCAGGGAAAAGGCCACGTGATGACCCAGGCAGAGACTGGAGTTACGCTGCTATAAACCAAGGAGCACCGGGAGCCACCAAAAGCTGGAAGAGCCAAAGAAGGATTCTCTCCCAGAACCTTTGTAGTGGGTGTAGCCCGGCTGACACCTTCATTTCACACTTCTAGCCTCTAATGAGAGGATACATTTCTGTTTGTTTTTTTAAGATTTTATTTATTTATTTTTAGTAAACTCTACACCCAGTGTGGGGCTCAAACTCACGACTCCAAGATCAAGTCACATGCTCTACCGGCTAAGGTGCCCCGAATTTCTATTGTTTTAAGCCATCACGGTTTTGCTAACGTGTTACGTCAACTGTAGGAAACTAATTACCCTTCTACCAAAAAAGGAAACACTGCTAAACTCTATTTGGAATTTGTGTCTTCTCAAATAATGACCGTTCTACACTTCTCCTTCCCCATTATTGCTGTCTTTCCTTTTATTTCTATATGTGGTGCTTATTACTTTTAAGTTTTTTGAAACTATGTTATATAATATTTAAGATATACAGAGAAACATAAAGAATAATAAAACTATCCATTTATCCAACATCAGCTATAGTTAGGAAACAATGTCAAAATATTTAAATCACCGGTATATCCCTCCCTCTTCTCTACCATCTCTTAGGGGAAATCACGTTCCTGAATGTGGACTTGTTTATTCCGAGGTATCTCCTGATCCCATTACTAGAAGTGTGTTTAGCCCCAAGCAATACATTATATTGTGGCACAATTTAAAACTTTGCAAAAATGGTGTTGTGCCATATGGATTCTTCAGCAACTTTTAATTATTTCATTTCTGTTTGTGAGACTTATCCATGTTGGAATATGTTCCTCTGATTCATTCGTTTTCACTTATGTATAGCATTCCGCTGCATGAAGATAACACTATTTTCTTGCTTTTGGACACTTAGGCTTTATTTTTTTATTTATTTTTCTATTTAAACCGTGTCTCTTATACTTAGAGTATAGGCACAATAATCTTCTAGGATATATGCTTATTCATGGATCCTAGGATGTACTATCTGCAACTTCACTAGATACTGTCATATTATTTTAAAGTGTTTAGGGGCACCTGGGTGGCTCAGTCGTTAGGCGTCTGCCTTCGGCTCAGGTCATGATCCCAGGGTCCTGGGATCGAGCCCCGCATCGGGCTCCCGGCTCAGAGGGAAGCCTGCTTCTCCCTCTCCCACTGCCCCCCTGCTTGTGTTCCCTCTCTGGCTGTGTCTCTCTCTGTCAAATAAATAAATAAAATCTTTAAATAAAAAAATAAAGTGTTTATAATAATTTAAGTTTACACCCACAAATGTGTATGAATTTCATTTGTTCTATATTCACATCAACAAAGACTTTTAATTTTTTAATTTTGGTCAATCTGAAAGACATGAAAGGAGCCCCATTTTTTTTTAAGATTTATTTATTTATTTTGGAGTGGGGAGGGGCACCAGGAGAGGGAAAGGGAGAATGCTCAAGCAGGCTCCCTGCGGGCACAGAGTCCGACTCGTGAATTCATAAAAATATTCTCTGATATTTTGTTCTTTATGTTTTTAAGTTTGGCTTTTTCACATTTATATTTTTAATACACTTGGACTTCTGTATTTCTATATGGTATGAAATAGAAAATTCTTTTCGTTTTTCATATAAACTATGGTGTCCTAACACCATTCATTGAAAAATTGATCTTTCCCCACTGATCTGCAGTACTAGTCCTGGTAGATATCAAGTTTTTGTATGTGTGTGTATATTAGTTGTGTATTGCTGCACAACAAGTTATCCCAAAACTTAGCAGCTAAAAATAACAAAAATTTGTTATCTGATAGTTTCTGTAGGTTAGGAATCTGGGAATGATCTAGATGGATAGTTCTGGCTCAAGGTTTCTTACAAGGTCAAAACTAAGGGGTCATCCAGGGCAGCAGTTACCTCAAAGCTGTACTGGGACAGGACCCACTTCTAAGCTTACACATGTGGCTGTTGATCAGCTTCTGGTCCTCACTGGCTGTTGACAAGAGACCTCAAACAGTTCCTTGCCACATGAGTCTCTCCATAGTGTTGCTCACAGTGAGGCAGCTTGCTTACCCTCTGAGTGAGAGACTGAAGAACAACAAAGTGAGAAAGAGCTCCCAAGATAAGAATCACTATATAATCCAATCTCAGAAGTGATATCCCATCGCTTCTGCCATATTCTATTATTTAGAAGTGAGTCACTAAATCCATACTCAGGGGGAGGGGATAATACAAGAATGTGAATATCTGGAGGTGGGGATTATTGGTGCCATCTAGAGCTGCCTACCACAGTTTCCATTTATTATCTTATACCTACCAGTGTCGTTACCACACTGTCTTACTATAGCTTTATAGTAAATCTTATTATCTAGAAGGGTAAGTTCCCCTACTTATTTATTCTTCAAATGTGTCTTGCCTAGTTGGGGATCTAAAAATAGAATCTAGGGATGCATGGGTGGCTCAGTTAAGTCTCTGCCTTCGGCTCAGGTCATGATCCCAGGGTCCTGGAATCAAGCCCCACATCAGGCTCCCTGATCAGTGAGGACTCTGCTTCTCCCACTGCCCCTCCCTCCTGCTTGTGTGTTCTCTCTCTCTCTCTGATAAATAAATAAAAATCTTTAAAAAAATCTTTAAATAAATAAATAATAAGTAATAATAATAAATAAATAAACATAAAATAAATAATAAATAAATAAACATAGATTCTAGAACCAGCTTATTCAGTTCAATGAAAAACCCATCAACATTTTTATTAAAATTACATTACATTAATAGATTCATTTACAAATCAATATTTATGATATTGAGTCTTCCCATACACTTATATGGTTTATCTCTCATATATTGTGGGAAGTTCACCAGAGGCTTAGAGTAAAAGAACTGTTTAGGATGCCTTTTCAGTAAAATATCTCAGACAAATTTCTTCTGTCTGGGCTTCCAATGGAAAAATTTAATGGTAATGCACAGTGTATGGAGGGTTTGTGTTGCCTCAGTTCCTGGGTTAGCAGTTTTAAGGTCTATTTCCATGTTGAAGTTCTGTGGGTCCACTACACTGCGTACTCTCTTCTTATAAGAACAGCATCCGTCTTCTTTTGGGGAGCTGCTGCTTCTCCCACTTCAACCAGCTGTTTCTAACCCTGGCTGCCAATCACAGTGCCCTGAGCACAAGAATAAGCACAGGTCCTAGTCTAGGGCAATCATAGCGCCTCCTTGGATTTTATCAAACTGGGATTCAGGGAAGTGGTCCCTCTCTCTCAGGTAAGAGGCTGAGACGCTGAGATCTCCAAGTTTCTAGACTGGTGAAATAAATATGTCTGACAAAATGAAGTCGAGATGAAGAAAGAAACTGAGATGAGAGATGGAGACATCTTGGTGGTGGCCAGGTGCCTGGTGCTAGATGTTTGGTGCCGGATGCTTGGTGCCAGATGCATCACTGTCCTGCTTCAGTTTGAGTAGGTGAGCCAGATAAACTCCCATTTTGCCCAGCTTCTTGCAACCAAAATTCGTGACATGCATCTGTCTTCTTGCTAATTTACATAGACCCTGCCATTCACTTAAAAACTCTTTGTCAAATCTCATTCCTCATTAATTTATTAACATAAAGCCCTTTTCTAAATTATGTTTACACCAATTATGATCATTTCGTCTTCTAACAATAGGAAATATGTATGAAGCATGTACTATGTGTCAGTCATCAAAGAACAGTGATAACTAAGTGTTCCAAGGAACACAATTAAAATATGTGCCTTAGCAAAATTAATGTAAAACATAAGTAGTGAAACCGTGATTTAAATCTCATTTGAACTTGACCAAAATCCTGCAAGGAAGCTCAGAGAGGGGTCAGTAATTACTCCATGCTTCTATAGCGAATAAATAGGGGAAGCAAAACTGGAACCTGGATTTTTTACTAAGTCAAAGTTGTTTTGAATATCCTGTACCGCTTAAACTGAGAAAATACTTTTGGATCCTTATACTTTAAAAACGATAGCTCCCAATCCTCTATCAGGTTCCAATTTCCTACCAAGTTGCAGCAGAGAGGTATGGGTGCTTCCTGAACTTTAATAGTTAAATAGAAACAAAATTAGGTCAACGAGCAATACGGACAAATCACGCTTTCCAGTCAGCAAGATTTTTTTGTCTCCACCGCCCCCCAAGTACAAGGCACCTTGGGAGTTGTAGTCTTGGGGCACAGAGTCCTGCGGCCGGAGTCGCTGACTCATTGGGACCCAATCAGCAGAGAGCCAACTTGCTCTCCGCGCAGCGATTGGCTCGAGATCAGCGGCCGCCCTCCCCGCGGCGCCCTCGCGGCGTCGCGAGTTAAAGGCAGCACCCGGGGCGGGAGGAGTGTGGGTGGTTGCGGTGTTCTCCGTACTGTAGTCTGTGAAACAACAGTGCGGCCATGGCAGAACCACAGCCCGCATCCAGCGGCCTCACCGACGAGGCTGCCCTCGGTTGCTGCTCCGACCCGGATCCCAGCACTAAGGTGGGCGCAGAAACCTACTTCTTCTGAGTAGCGGCCCCGCAGGGCGCAACTGGGGCCCCTGTGGGGAGCACATCCCCGGGCTCAGCCAGGCCCGGCTTGGGCTGGGTTCGAACCCCATCCGGCCGCCGCTGCAGCTCCGGCCGCTTGGGGCTGACCAGAGTGGGCCGGGTGAAGGGCTAGTGGTGTCCAGTAGGGGATCGTGAGAGGATCCATTTCCCCAGAGACTGGGACCCTGCTTGCATTAACTTGTTTATTTTGGGACGGTAACTGGAAGCCACGGCTAACCCCGAATCAGATCCCTTGTCTGTGGTGTGCGTGTTGCCGGGGTCAATAGTTATGGCGGGTGAGAGCAGCTTCAGAACTCCCAGTTCGGGGTCGAAGGTCTCTATCCATGCCGGCCCCTCCTAGCCTACTCTGGCTGCCAGCTTAACTCCTCCGAACTAATCGGATCTCTCCGACTTTAACTGCGCCCCAAAGTTCGCTTTTGCTTGGTTTCTGTGGTTGCTCACGGCTACACTTCTGCCCTCCCTGTGCTTGGTGGCCCCCAGGAGAGATGACAGTAATCGTGAAGCTTAGATCCAAAGGGAATCTTGGAACGACCTTCTCATCGCAGCTGAGACCCAGTAAGAGGAATGTCCTGTTGCATCCCTCCAGCTCACTTAACATGTCTGCACTGAGTCAGTGTAACTCATTCAGGTGTGGTGCCTCCACGCTGGCAAGATTTGACACAGCAGCCGCTTGGGTTTATTCCAGTGTACTGTCAGTGTCAGTAAACGTCTTTGTATTTTTTTCATTAGATTGGGCAATTTCTAAATTCCTTGAAGATTGAATATGTGTGGATGAGTTTGCCCCCTGCTTCAGGGTGAAGAGTCAGACATCTCTGATTGCTAAAGCCTTTGACTAGCACCGAGTACTTAGCTTAGGAAAAACAGTAGTCACTGCGAAATTAAGGAGGACGAAATAAAGAAAGAACGAAATATATTTCCTTCTACACTCATTTCACTTGTATACCCTCTAATAGTATTATTATTATGTAGTATAAATACCTAGTTATTTCACATAATGTAAACTGAGTCATTCAGTATAAATTAATTTCCTAGATAACTGGGGATTTTATGTACTGGGCTGTTTAAAAAGATTTCAGAGATATCTTTATAAAATTTGTTAAATACATATTCTAGCATTCTTAATTTACACTACACATCATTGAAATTTCTAATTACTTCATGAAATCAATAAGTTTTGGCCCTGCAGTACTATGTGGGGGACATAAAATGGATATGCAGTAGCAGCTGGTATACCTCCAGAGTGCCAGGCCCTGGGTTGTTTGAAGTACATTACTTAATTTAATCCTCATGACAACCCTATGAAGAAGGCATAATTACCATCTCTATTTTACAAATAAGGAGACTCCAGCATAGAAGTATTGAGTAACTTGTCCAGAGATGTTCCCACGCTCTCAACCTCCACCCTTATTCTGCTTCTGGAGTGCTGACTTCAGCAATTTTGGAACTTGACATGAAGGAGAGTAAAAAGACTTAAGTGAATTAAATTCAGCCTGATGGCTGATCACCTGCTATATATACAGAGCATGGTACATTTGGGGGATACTGGGATGAACAAGATGAGGTCTCTTCACCAAAAGGACCAACCCTAACATAAGACAGAGCTGGGATTAATGTGCTGTTGAAATTATAGAGCACTCTGGGAGCATAAGAGGTAGAAATTTTGGAAGGTAGCATCTGTGGTATGGTATATACATGGGGTATTTGACGTCTGAAGACCTACACTTGAATCCCCAGATCTATTGTTGGCTGTAGTGATCTTAAGGGCACTGGGGCTGAGTTTGTAAAAGCAATATAAAGAGAGCTGCGAGGAGGATAAAATGTATTATTTTTCTCTAAACTATGAAAAGTGATACAGTTCAACTCTGGGGATCAACCAGAAGGTGGGGGTGGGCCTAGGTCTTGAAAGATGGATGGGGTTCCAAAATCATCTAGGAGACAGAGTTACGTGGGAGGGGGCATTCTACGTGGAGGAAAGATCTGAGCAAAAATGTTGTGAGATGGCAGAAAGATGCAGTGCAGGCATGTTCTGGAGACGTGAGTTACATGTTTTTGGTTGAAGTTCAGGTTATCTAAGCAGTGGAGCTGTGGTGGAAAAGGCTAGAATGCAAGGTTGGAGCCTCACTCTCATGGAGAGAGCTTTGAATGTCACATCTAAGGAAGCTGGATTTAAATAAGTAATAGGGAATCATTCAGGGTTTCAAAGCATTTTGTAGAGTAGATTGGAGGGATCCAGGTCTGGAGGTGATGAGGACACCTGAAAGGTTCTTCCAGAAGATGAAATAAGTGGTGGGGGCCTGGTTTGGAAAGGAGAGGGTAGTGGTGGTAGAAAGTCAACTTGCCTGTTGATCATCTGCATCTTTGTCATGAAGGGCAGGCCAAGGAATGTACAGCCACATGACATCTTGGGTAGTATTATTGGCCATCTGTCTTCATGAGGCCAAATACTTATTTTCCCAAGTGATAATCTCCTGAAATTAATTTTTTTTACAGTCTCTGTCAGGGTTCTTTAATGTAGTAATTTGGAATCCTGTCCCATCTGAGTGTCAGGGAAAACTTTGAGTGTTGGTGACACTTAAGCTGAGTTTTACCAAATACAAAGGAAGTAGCTAGGTAGAATTGGGTGTAGGGGTAGGTGGAAGAGAGGATGGAAAGGAGGAAGGAAGGAGAATGGCCAGATGGATGAATGACTGTTCTAGGCAGAGAGAATCCTAGTAAGTATAAAAAGCATATGACATCAGAGAACTGATGCAGGAATTGACAGATAATATGAGACTGAAGTTGTAGGCAGTGGGAGTTGAGGGGAAGATATGCAAGACAATCATCAGGATGCTCAAAGAGAATATGAGCACCCCTCATCCCATTATGTTTGTTTTTCTCTGTAAAATTTCTATTTGGTAAATATATTTTATAATATATATATTATTAGTATATGTGTACATGTATATAATTAAAATAAATACATATTTATAGGGGGTGCATGCTCTCTTTTTTAACTGATAAAGGTATACCAAAAACATTCAGAATGACCAGTTTAGGGGAGTGCTAACAAGTGATGAAGTTGGAGAAGTATGCAATAACCATATGTGCTTGCTTTTGGGACTTTCTTTTAAAAGCTGTGAGGCATCACTGAAGGAATGATTTTTATTTTATTTATTTATTTGAGAGAGTGTGTGCAAGGTGGGGGAGGGGCAGAGGGACAGGGAGAGGGAGAGAATCCCAAGCAGACTCCCTGAGCATGGAGTCTCACAACCCTGAGATCATGACCTGAGCCAAAACCAAGAGTCGGATGCTTAACCTATTGACGTACCAATCACCCCTGAAGGAATGTTTTGTTTTTTTTTTTAATCCAGAAATTTTCACTATAGAAAGATCACTCTGGTACTTTATGGGAAGGTCAGTGGCTTGCATCTGGGTAAGCGTGCAAGAAGCAGAAACCAGGGAGGCAAGGACAGGCATCCAGGGAGGCAGTAGTGAGGACATGAGCAAGGTAGTGCTCATTAGAAAGACAAGGAGCAAGATTCCAGAGGGATTTAAGCAGTCAGGTTGATAGGACACTTGGACTGGATTACAGAGAAGTGGGGAGGGAGAAATCTAGGAAGACTCCAGGTGGCTGACTTGGCCTGACAAGGGACTCTAGAGACACTATGCGAAGCACTTTCATGCATTATCCCATATACTTTTCAACGCAGCTCTACGAGCTGAGAACTATAATTATTCCCATTCTAAAGATGTGAAAACTAAGGTTCAAGAAAAGTAATGATTTACTCAAGGTAATGTTAGAGCCAGCATTTGAACCATATTGCCTCTGAAGAATTATTTCTCTCATACTTGTGTGTTTTCTCTCCCTTTGCATGAGATTTTAAAGGCCTCGTGATCCTGAGGGCTTCTAGGATTTTCCTGTTTCTATTATCTGTTTTAAGAGTATTCTGTCAGGTGTGTTTCCTAATATCACAGGTAATTTTTAATTTAAAAAAATTTCCTTTGTGTCTCCTATTTCTGCTGCCTTTATCCATAGGGTGAATATACTTGAAGTACGTCTTTGGCTGTTGAGTTATAGAGTGGGAAGGAAAGAACCACATGAAACCAATTTAGATAAGATAGAATAAATGTAAAGGGAGTGGCTGAATTATTTTCAGGAACAATTATCACATTCTGACATAGGTTGAGTCAGGCAAATAACACTGGAAGGAGAAGATAGTGAAGAAAAAAATATATCAAACCATCTTCTACATCAACTGTGCGCTTCAGCTGTTACATAGAAAACAATTTTGTTCTCCTCAGATATGCTTGTATTTCCAAAGGGGTCTTTCACTGAAGGCGATTGTGACTTTAAAAAGTCTGGAAAAAACAAAACTTGATGCATTTTTGTCTATAGGAGATACGATACCTAGGGGTGAAGAGTTAAGCCCTGAACCCTTTGATGAGAATGTGACATTTGGTTAACTCTAGCTGTTTCCCAAGAAACAAAAATAGTGTTTGTTGCTTAGCAATATTGCTTATATTAAAAATAACTTGATTGGTAAATTGCATCTGGAGAGGGAGAATTATCAATACCTAATAGGAAGTCATGGCTTTGGGCTTTCCTGAATGTAGAGGCTCTTATAACTGCCCTTTGTGGAGATTCTGGAAGCTGTGCCCGTGGAATTGCTACTAGAGTTACTGGTTCCTTGGTACCTAGGGCTTCTACACCAGGGTGAGTCCTGCTCCTCCCCAGTGCAGATCTCCCTGTACCCAAGCTGTGCAGACTTCTTTAAGTACTCCTGCTGAAGAGGGAAACCTAGCCCTGCTCTGGTGGCAAAATTTTTCTGATTGAAACTCTTTCAGCCTGTGGTTGTCCTGTGAGTCTGAATGTTGAGTTGAAGACTCTCTGCTGGGGGTGATGGAACACTTTTGAAAATTCACTGGGAAAAAGAGCAGATGGGCTCCAAAGGG